TAAAGGGATTATAAAGGGATTCTAGATGATTCAAGCTACTGGCGCTGCAAACCTGCGACCCGATCTGCAATCCCAAATGCACCAAAATGAGGGGCGAGCTTTCAAGAAAGGAGTTCACGGAATGTAAACTGCGAAAGCCTCGAACCTGGGGAATTTCACGTGCGATGGTTGGGCTGGACTAGGCCACCCCTCATGGGAGGGTGGGGGGTAGGGAGATGGGGTGGTCTGCAAGGGGGAGCAGAGGGGGTTTTTGGAGGGTTCCAGACGCCCTGAGGCTGGATAGCCTCGGCGAATTGCATCGCTTGTGTGTCCGCCTTCATTTATACACCTGCAGTTCTCCTTTCGAAACAGCCCGACTTCTTGCGAGACTTGCGAGTTGACACAAGTTTAGATAGGTAACAGCAAGCATGGTCCGCCTGGCAATGGCTGCAGGTGAGCTCTAAGCATTTGAAGTCGCTCTTCCTGTCAAGTTTGCAGGACGGCGCCTGACCCTCAGCAAGACCATTTGGCTGTTTTACAGCAGGGCGGGGTTTATGACTTGAGGTGAAGCGTCGAAAGGCACTGAAGGCACAGCAGAAGGCAGCGTCGAAAAAATGGCTTCCGATGCGTTCTTGTGTTGGAATGGCACACAACATGTTGCCTGCGGCCGCAACTGCGGCCGCAACTCTGAAGATGTCTTTGTTAGACATTTGCATTGACTCTCTTGTGAATCATCACGCAACTGCAAGTATGGATATCTAGTTTGCTGTTTCCACAGCCAGGTCCTACAGCAGACCATGACGAGCATGAAATCATACGAGGCCGGTGAACAGCTGGTGCATTCACATGCACAAGAACATGGACCTCAGTGCCAAGAAAGCCACATTTCTCCCAGGCTCCTCCTTGTACATGCCTACCTTTCCTGGGACCGCCAAGATTTTGGACCACCGATAAGACGGAAGAGTTTTGCAACAGGCGAGGCTTGGAAGGGCAGAGGACCGCTTGACAGCACTGTCCTGAGCGTGGGGCTGCACATTGATTTGTTTTGTTGGACTCAGTTTGGTGCACTAAGCACAAAGTGGGATCTGCATCAAATCTGACTGAAGTATCGGCACCGCGATCATTTTCGGGAGAGCACGAAAGGTCACAAAGCAGACGCTGGACAAGCACCTCCATGATGCGGGGCTGTTTCTCAAGAAGCTCTCGCGGCTTCCTTAGAATGAATGCCTGGCACAGCACAACCTAAGAGATCCTAAGAGTAAGTAGCAAGACCTATAAGCCTGCCTTCCTTCGTTGTAACCATGCATGCGGGAGGCCCAGAGTCACTCCGTTTTTCACGGGAGCACCGCATAAGATGTCATGCTCCATTCCGCTTCTGTCAAGTATTACAGCCTTCAAGCTGTATTTCATTTCTTGACTGCAGTGCACCAAGGCAGCTGCTGCTTGAAAAGCCCGAGGCCGAAAGCAAAGTCTTGGGCGTTGGCTGCAACTATGGGTCATCAATTGTAGGAGAAGATTTGTTGGATGTTTTTCTGCAGTGAGTATCAAAATCCTCTTGTGTAATCAGCGCGATCTTGGCACATGTCATGCCAGGCCGGTGAAAAAGAGCTGGCGGCCCTTCAGCACTCTTTGTGACAAGTTGGTGCAGAGATGAGCGGGTTTCAACGTTGCCAGATGGCAAAAGAGGGCCGGCAACAGCTAGCTAATCTAGCTGTTAGCTCTGACAGCAAACCATCACGCTGCTGGTGCAGAAAGACACAAGGCAAAGCGCGGTTCCACTCAGACAACAGAGGCTCTGTACCCAAAGGCACATGAACATTTGCTTCACATGGTCCTAACATTTGTCACTGCTCGTGACTCATGTTTTTGCTAAACTTGCACGTTTGTTTGGAGGTGGGCAGTTTGTATTCAGAAGATTCAGGCTATGTCAGCCAGCGCAGTACAGCAGGCATTCCGCGGTGGGAAAGCCAAAGTAATTTGCGCCAATTCAGTATGCTCGCGTGCTGGAATCAACGTTCCGAAAGATGGTGTAGGTGAGGTGGGTAGGGGTCCCGGGAGTCAGTGGAGTCAGGGTATGTTAGGGTATCGCATGGCGGCAGCAGTTGCTAGGGGTAGCAACGTCCATGCAATGCGCCAACACGCTGACAGTTGAACGGTTGACTGTGAGTCTTTGCTTCATCCCCGCTTCGGCAAAGGTATTCGTTTGGTAGAGGCGGCTGGTGCTACTGGTGGCTTTGGCGGTGGCAGTGGCGGTCGCGATGCTGGGGGGTGGAGTGGTGGCTCATCTGTTTTCTTGCACAGTTCTTGTGGGGGGCCCCTTCTTCAAGGGAGCCCCTTGTGGGGAGCTGCTTACAGGTGGTGGTTGTTGTCAGGGTTGCCGCAGGCATCGGTCAGCTAGTAAGCGCTTTGGTTTTGTTGAATATGGTTGCCAAGCTCCGCTGGATCATCAACCACACGACAACTCCGCGGCCTAGCATCATGCAATCTTACACCCGCCGCCTTGATGCAGCCTGCTTGGATCGCAAGCAAAAGTCCACGATTATGGTATATGGTAAGTCCCTGAATACCAGAGTCAGTTCCTCAAAGCTTAGCTGGTCTTTGATCATGTGAAAAGAGACATGACCCCGATGGATGCATCGAAGCGCCGCTCCTGACGGGAAGGATCCTGGGGAAGCAGAATGGTTTGTGACTATATGAGCTGTTATCGGTGCACAGCTTTCCTCAGCAGGAAGATGTAGACCGAGACAGATTTCATAGGCAGTATTATTTCACAGCTCCGTTTGGACATGTGCAAGGAAGGCAGGCGATCTTGTTTTTTGACATGTGCCGTCAGCAGGATGGTCCACCCGGAATTCTGAGGAAGTGTCCTGGCCTGGGAAGGATCTTCACTATTTGACTCATCGTATTCTCTTCTTTTCCAAGGAATGTCAAGGCCATACAGACGTGCCAACGCGCACTTCACTGGCAACAAGCGCTCAAGATCTTCTCCTCTGCCTCACATGAGGGTTTTCAGGCAGTGCATAAGTCCAAGCATGTTCATCAGTAGCACGCAGTATTCTCAACGCGAACGTTCTGTACTGCGTTCTGCTCCCTGCTATGCGACTTTTTTTTCGTGCAGGTCAATACGATCGCTTACACTGCAGCAATTAGCGCAGCCAATACTAGATATTGGCAAGGGGGGCTGCAGCTCTTCAAGGACAGACATGGACTTGACACGATAGGACCCTTATACCGTTCGTAAAGAGGAAAGAGCTTCATACTTTGTGCACTGGTTCCACAGAAGTAGCTAGATGGCCTTTACCGACCCGACGCCCGAAGCAATGCGGGCCTCCATTTCACCTAGCAGCTTTGGTTTGCGTAGGGCTCTATAAATTCCAAAACCAACCGTGCAGGGGTATCGGATCAGGCACACTCCTTGATCATCTCTTACTTTGCATGATCTGAAGGAAGTGTGTTTCAAGGGGCTGGAGACTGATGTCGTTCTGCACAACGCCGCCATCCATGGTTGTGAGCAAGGAGAGCACCATGGACCAAATTTGTGAGTTCATGCTGTCTTTGACAGATGCCGTGTCTGCCAATGGACAGCCAAGGAGCTGGAAGCTCGTGCTATCCTATTTTGGCAGTCTCGGGACAATTTGCCTACAAGCCAGCTTGATTTCGTTCAACACCGTCATTGGCGCCTGCGACAATCCGGATTGCTGGGAAGCTTGTTTAACAGCAACTTCAACGACCTGCCTGTCAAATCGGTCTGCCAGCCAAGGAAGAAGCGCTAAACTGCCTCAGACACTTGGAGAAGCAAAGCCAAGCTGATGTGGTCTCGAAATTTGGCTGCAGGCAGAAGCATTCATCTTGGGTTGTGCCAAGCTGTGCGCTAAGTCGTTTTCTTCGTATGATGATCTTGCTCGCTGCACAATGACAATCAGGTATAATGCGATGATGAACTCGATGGGATGTGTCAACAGCCGCTGGAAGCTTGCAGTGCATGTGTTTTCAAGGCCCTTCTCCTAGACGAGGTGTTGTCTGTAGTCACCTGCAACGTGCACCGCAGGCTGCGAAAAGCTGGCATTTATCCAACAAATGTTGCTGAACAGCCATCAGTGAACGCTGAATTCAGATGTGGTTTCTATTGAGTTTCTTCGTGTCTTGACGAACCAAGGTAACTGTCAATTCAGCGATGGCGACTTGCAGGAAACCTATGAAGCATGCACACGTCGCCGATACGCCAATGACAGATGCATCAACTGCTCGAACGTGCATCCCCCAAAAGCCATGAGTGACACATAAAGTTAAGTGAGCGCTTGACAGGCCGTGGCAAAGAGCCTTGCAAATGCTGTCAGCATCTTGGTTTGCATCTGCTTCTATTAGTGGACTTGAGCACGTCAGGACCCTGATGACTTAGTCTTAGCTGCTGTATGCCAGTCAACGCTTCCGAGGAAGCATCAGGTGGTTATAGCATCGCCCCCGATATCGTCTCCTATTGCACCGTGATGAGTGCTTGTGCGGCGTGCCGGGAAGTTGTAAGATGAGTGCCTTCTTCTTGTAGGAATTTATCAAGCATCAGTCTAAGGTAGACGTTTGGAGGGCATGATTCTCAAACAGAGAACTCAGGAGAAAGCAGCACTCTGGCAGTTGGCTTTGGATTTGTTGACAAGTCTGGCTGGTCAACGGCTGAAGGCAGCAACGGAATGAACCTCCAGGAACAGATGTAGAGATGTTTCCAACATTGACTACCCCTCAATACAGCACTGATCGATTCACATGGCCTTTCCACTCTATTCTGCACGCATCCATTCCATAGTTCAGCCTGCCACATTCAAGCAAACGGTAGTCCAGTGCTTTCAGACTTGCAAGTGGTATTTCGCCAGCACTTTCAACCCAGTAAAGGGCATGCCAATCGTTTTCGCTCCAGTGAACAACTGCCTCGTCACTTCTGAGTCTAATGGATGTGGACTTGCACCCTTTTTTAGTGAGAAGAGTCTATGTTTCATCGGTTGTGGTCGGAACTGCCTCCCTCGCAAGGTGCAACTCCTTTAAAGCTTTTATGAAATTTTGCAGGTGGAGTAGAAGCCTTCATGCCTACCTAAAGCTTGTCATCCTGGTGTTATCCAGATGTCTAGCTTTCATAGACACTCTTGGCTCCCCCTTGCCCAAGTGCAAACAGGTTACCTTGCGGTGGCCCTATGTTGTTGGCCCGTTGTTGGCTTCAGGATGCACAGAACTGCAGCCTTAATGACGTTGAGAGTCAACCTGCTTCGCTGTCATTGTGAATAACCACATCATCACATTTAGGAGAAGTTATGCTTTATGCGAAACGGATTGGGGCTACGACTTGTCCTACTGTAGGCAGGATTTAAGAAATGCTTTTCACACTGTCAGGCCAGCGACGTGTGCTACAACATTCTGATCAGTGCATGCGGTTTCAGTAAGGAGTGGCAAAGGGCTCTTTGCTTGTTTGATGTGCCCCAGCAGCTATGCAGGAACGCGTGTACCATAGTGCGAGTACATTTCTCACCTCAGTGAAAGGCCATAGAAGCTAAGGAACTGCACAAAGCTTCTCTGCAGATGTCGGGTACGAGCGTCAATGCTCTCATCACTTCTGTTGGCCGAGCTGGGCGTTGGCAACATGCTCTGTCTCTGCTTTCAGAAATGCAGCCACTCCAACGAATCATGGACTTTGGCCCCTGTGACACAGTGATTTGAAGCTGCTTGACTTAGCCCAAAAGTCCAGGCAATGGTCTTTGCGCAGCGACGTCATTTCACACAGCGCATGCATCACTGCATGCGAGCAGAGTGGAGATTGGCATCAAGGCCGGACACTAGCTTGAGCCATGCTGATGGAAGTGCCTCAAGTTGATGCACAGAGTAGCAGTTAAACGAAATCGCTTACAGGAGCATTTCTTTTGCGGATGCTTCATCATTCCTCCTTGGAACCAAACACTGTGGCATACACTGCAGCTGCAGCAGCATCTGTGCCAGCAATTCAATCTTGGATGGTAGAAGCAGTCCGGGGCGTGCCGCTTTTCTCAAAGGCTTTCGAAAGCTGCGAAAGATGGTTTGATTCCATCAACATGCTATCTGAATTGCAGCTTCTTGCCTTGAGCACCAACCTCCCTGTGCCTTGACTCTGACAGTCTGCACTCAAGTAGGCCGGCTGAAGCTTTGTCTTACTGCTATCAAGTTGTTGACCTCCACATTTCCAGTTGAGGCTTACAGTACAGTGATGATGTCCTGCTCTAATGGAGACTTCTGGCCGAAAGTGATAGAAATCCTGCAGCAGGCTAGGAGGACCGAAAGAATGTGCTCCTATTGCCATGCACCGGCATAGAAACCCACAAAACGCCGGTAGTAGCGCAGGACCGCGTTGCTGCTTGACACCATCATGCATGGCTCTGCCACTTGGAAGGCACGTTCAGAACACTTGAGGGAGTCGCTTGGACATCCTCTTCAGGTGCTGAATGCCTACCAGCACTCTGCGCAGTGGCAAGCTGCATTTTCTCTCCTCGAGCCGAGCACATCAGAAGAGACTCAACTTCCAGATGAGCTATACCCGTTGCACCATTTATGCTCGATTTCTATCAAAGGCAAGCTCTGTACTTTGCAGCTGTGCCATGGGCACATGCGCGCGATCAGCGCAGTGGCAGCATGCGCATCACTTGATGCAAACCATCCAGAAGCACACCCTCGAGTTCAACGCTACTCGTTCTCAATGTCTGGCTAACCCGCCATTTGCCATGGCATGCTTCTGGGAGGCACTCCTGACGAGTGCTGCGATGGACGCGTTTTCACGCGCTTCGCGTCCTATGGAGGTGTGCACTTGCTGTCTTCTGCTAGTCAGCTATCGTCATACAAACTTCAGTGTTCCTCGACAGGCTGTGACTGTTCTAGAGAAGTTGGCATCAAGCTCTGGCCTCCGTACTGAACGGGCACGTGGGGTGCTTGTAAAGCGCATCCTCGCAGGAGGCATGTAAGTAGACAGCTCAACTTAGTCAGAAGCCGGCGTGAAAAGGCAGAGAGCGATACTCAACCTGGGTTTTGAAAGACTGCTCATGTCAGGGGGTGCATTTTGCTTGGCCTTCTTGGCTTCAGATCACTCATCTCCAGAGCATGGCATGCTAGAAGCCTCTCGGCCGTCATGTGGGCAGGCCTGCACCGGCACTCTGAGCGCTTGCAGGAGATCTGCTTCATGGGAACGTGGCTTTTCCCTGCTTTGCGCCATCTCCGCGGATGGTGTTCGAGCAAACATCATCAGCATCAATTCGGCAATCAGCATTTGCGACAAGGCCAGCTTGTGGAGTATGGGAGGAATGCTTCTTCAGCATGTCCGCGACGTTGTGCTGGAACAAGATATCATCACCAAGAATTCGGCTATCAGCATTTGCGGCAAAGCGACTTGGAAAACAAATGCTTTCTGATGCCGAAGAGCCCCCACTATTCCTTAGCATTCACAACATCCCAGGCGAGCCAGTGGCAGCCATCCCTGTCGATGCTGGAAGCTGTGCCGCAGCGTCCAAGCTTTACTTGAGTGATCAGGTCCTCACCCTTACGTGGATTTAAGCTGAAGGAAATTTCTTCAGAAATGCCTGCATTGCCAGGCTCACCGGGGATTTTGGAATATGTCGTTTGCTGTACTTCTTTGGAATCAGCCAATCTGCAAGCAGGTCTTGGATCTATATGAGCTATTGTCTAAACTCCTAGTGTCCCCTTCATAACCCCTAATTATGAAATTCCTCCATATAATCCCCTGTAAACCCCCTTCAAGGAGTTTAGACTATAGCTGACATTGCAAGCCTGACTAGAGGTTTGCTTGTCGTTTACGGACTAGGGTTTGGGGCTTGGGGTGACAAGCATGCTTTTCTGAGTGCGCTGTCTGAACGGGCGTGGGGTAGGTGAAGATAAAGCGACACGTCCACAAATCCATTGGGAATCCTACTGAAGCTGTCCTTGATCTTCTTTACTCAAACTTGGTTGAGCATCGCATGCAAGGCCTTGGACTCGGACGTAACATAGAATGACAAGTATGGCATCCCCCCTTTGTCATTCAGCCGAGGTGTCACCTTCATACAGACTCGATGCTTGGCGGGAGTTGTCAACGATTAGCTTGTTTTTGAAAATATGTTTTTTGCAATTTCAGGATCACCTTCAATGCAGCCATGGCTGCCTGCGAAAAGGGAGATCAATGGCTGCAATCACTCGGCATGTTCCAGGACACATACCAATATTGCGGATCTTTCCACCGGTGCTGTGTCAGCCAACAGCATGCTGTGCCGATTTCCAGGACATGCATCGCCGAGGACCAGCACCAAGCTTCAAAGCTGCAACCAATTCTGCTGTGACCAGGAAGCCCCAATGCGTTTCATTGCTCTCAGTTTTGGCACAGTCAGGTGTGTACTCCCACGGCTCTGCCACGAGTGCCTGCCGCAGAGGCCTCGCAGTGCAACCAAGCAAACCATGTGCGAGACGAATTGCCCGCCTGCGAAAGCCTAACGTATCGCGTGGTGCCAAACACCAGGGGGCAAATGGCAAGAAGCTACACACGTGCTCTCAGATCTTGGGAGCAGCAGCAGCTTGACTGCAACCAATTGCAAGCTATTCTGGCGCTCATTCGTGCCTCCTCAACAATTTAACGTGAATTGGAAAAAGGCTTGCAGGCGACCGTTGCGGCTCCCTAGCCAGCAGAAAGCTTTGCTTGCAGTCTTGAGGAGTCGTCTTGTGATTCTTGTGCAAGCAGGAGGGGATAGTTGACAAGTTGTTGGTGTCAAATCATGATAGGCTGAGAAGGCATGTGAACATTTCCATGCCTCTGACATGTTCATTCTGGCAAGGTTTACGGTGCAGCTATTGCCGCATGCGAAGACTCCACACTCTGGCCTGCTGCCCTCGTGATGGTGGCAAAGATGAGGCATGACCGCGTGGAGGCAGGGTTTGCGAAACAATGCCAAGAAATCAAAGACTGTCCCAGTTTGTTGCTTGTGCATTTCCTTCTTATGTTGCCCTTTTTGTTTTTAGTTTTTCTTCAAAGGCGAATGTCATCAGCTTCGGCGCCACAATCACGGTCATGGAAAAAGGGTGGAAATGGCAACCGGCAGTCATTTTATTGGAGAAGATGCAGCTCACTGGTGTCCAGGCCAGAGCTGTAAAGCATGACCTCTCAAGCCTCTCAGCCTTGTCGCGCTTCACGCGCTTCAGGCAAATGTGGTCCCATACAATGCTGCTGTTAGCGCATTGAGCCGTGCTAATTGGCAACTGGCTCTCCAACTCCTAACCTTCGTTGTCACACGCCGCCTGCAGATCAATGTTGTGACAATCGCTGCTGCTGCGACAGCTTTGGACAAAGCGGGCAACTGGCAATTAGCCTTGCTCTTACTGCTGGAAGCGCAAGCCACAAACCTGTCCAACATCATCTCATACGGCGCTGCAATCAGTGCCTGTGAGCAGAACGAGGAGTGGCAGCAAGCACTTGAGCTGCTTGCTTCCATGGTATCTGCAGACCTGCAAGCAAACGCGGTGGTTTACAGCGCCACAGCTAGAATTTTTCCCGCGGTTCTGGCACGTCATTCTTCATTTTACCGAAACGCTTAAGAAGTCATGGTTTGGTTGCAGGTGCTACCATCAGTGCGTGTGCCAAAGCCAGCATGTGGCAGCGCAGTCTGCGATTGCATGTCCATGCGCAGCAAGCAGGCAGATCTTAGCTTGTTTGCATTTGCCGCTACTCCTGCTTAATGATATCTTCCTCTACTTGATTCACTTTCGCTCACCTCAAAATTGCATATCGCGTAAGGTATTGGAGAACACTTGATGTGCTGTGTTTTTCACGTTCCTCAATAGGTCTTCGCACTAGATCTAGCCGTTTGTTTTAGGCTTTTCTTTCCCAATTTTTCTTGATTTAGACGGAAGACTCTCAGGGCTGTAGGCTTGCCAATTAGAGGCTTTTCAGAACATTAGATATTTTCTCACCTGATTCTGTAACTTGCTGTCTGACATTGGCCTTGGACATGCGGCCTGCTTGTTGGCTCAGAATTTGTTCGCCAAAGCCTTTCGTGCACACGGTTAGAGGAATCTTCTCGCAAGGCATTCCTGGAATCAGCAAGGAATGCTGGACAATCACCATAGGCCCAAACCAGAACAGAATGCGTGTTCGAGTGCACTCACCCAATGGCCAGAACACCCAGGCCAAACCATAGGAACCTTCATCCCAAGAGACTTGCTGTCTTCTTCTCATGCCAACTGTATTCTCTCAGAAAAAAGAGGTGATTTCTCTACACCATCCTTTTTTGTGACCTTTTACTCCCCACGTTCATTGTGGGGTTCTAATTGCTTGATGCATGGTCACCCGCCATCCCTGCGTGCTCTTCCGTTGGCAAAAATTTTGGACGCGCCCTAAATCGCTTCAAAATCGTGCGCTCGCTCGGAGCATCCTCGAAAATCGTCGTTTTATGACGTCGTAACTGTTCAACCGTTATTCGTTCTCCTTTTAGATTTGTCTTGCTATAGGGACCTTTCAAAAATTGCGCTCCCATGTGGGACATATTCAAAATTCGTGATTTTGCTTACCGGAAAATCGTGTTTTTTGATTCGTATATCTTCAAAAATCGCGCTTCCGTGCGGGATCTTCTCATTTTTTTGTCGATTTATCTTCATAAATTCATCCAAAAATGACACTCCCATGCGGAGCATCCGGAACATTTTGGTGATTTTTAATCGAAAATTGCGCCCCCGTTCGGAGTATCCTCAAAATTCCGTCGACCTCTTTGTTTAAAATCGTGTTCTTGAAAAAAGTACCCCGGTAGTCAGTCAGCAGTAATCTTTGTCGAACCAGAATCCCGCTCCCGTGCGGAGCATCCCGAAAATTTAGAATGATATCGCGCTTCCGTGCGTCGACGAATTGCGCTCCTGTGCGGAGCATTCTGAAAATGTTGAAGAAAATTGCGCTCCCGTGCGGACATCCTCAAAATTCCGTGGATTTTTCATTCAAGATCGCGCTCCCGTGCAGAGCATTCTGAAAATCTTGAACGAACTCGCGCTCTTGTGCAGAGATTTCGTCGACTTTTCGTTCGCAACTGCGCTCCCGCGCGGAGCTTTTTGAAATAAGATAGTAAAATTGCGCTGGCGTGCGGAGCATACTTGGAATTTCATCGATTTTTTATCAAAAGTTGCGCTCTCGTGCGAAGCATCCGCAAAATTCGGTTGTTTTTTCATTACATACATACATACATACATACATACATACATACATACATACATACATGCTATACATACATACATACATACATACACACGTACATACCTACATACCTACATACCTACATACATACATACATACCTACATACATACATACATACATACATACACATATGTGTATATTATATATGTATATATGTACAATGAACCTTTGTGTAGTATGTGATGATTTGTCTTTTTGGAAATCAACAAATGGTGTCTGGGCGACACTGCTTGCGTTTCGGGATTTGGGTAGCTGATTTTTCGAACAACTTAAGGATGACACTGCTTGCGATTTGGGATTTGGGGGACACTTGTTTCTACAATCATTTAGGAGTGGTTCGGGGTCAGTATGTTTAAAGCAGTTACTACTTGCGAGGCAAGCGTTTATAGCGCCCCTAAAAAAAGAAACTCTTAATCTTTTGGAGGGGGCGGATCGAAGAGCAGAGATGCCACCAATTTTTTCTCTGATCCAGGGACCTGCAGCCATAAAGAAAAAATGTTTAAATTTAAAAGTTTGGGGGTGGGCAGCTGCTTGGATCAGAGAAAACTTTTAGAAGCAGCTCTGATCTTCGATAAGAAATTAACAACTAAATTTGTGTTCGTATTGTTCGTGGCCTGGACCAGAGACATTTCCCCAAGAGTTTCCTCTGATCCAGAGGCCTGTCCCTTAAGAAGGAAAAATCAGAGAAAACTTTTGGATCCGCCCATTAAGAAATTACAGCTTTTATGGTTTTGTATTCTGATTTTTTTGGTGCCTGGATCAAAGATTACAGCTGGTTCCAAAAGTTTTCTCTGATCCAATGATTTGCCAACCCAAATTTGGGGTGGCAGGTCCCGGGATCAGAGACTTTTGGGCGACTTTTTGATCCTCGATCCGCCTCCCCCCCGTCCCCCTTGAAAAAAAAATGAAAAGGGCGAGAAAACTTTTGGAACTATCTCCGATCCAGACCTTCAAATTACATAACCCACATAGAAGAGAGCCAATCCGGAGAATATGGATATCGTTGTGGCCCTATCTAATCTAATACAATTCTTCAAACTTATTCCACAGCAATCGTACACCATACCTCCCCACACACTGGGTCGTTACCATTATTTAGCTATTTGCCATGGCCCTGTTCAAGTGTTTTGTCTGCACGTTGTATGTTTGGGATGTGCATATCCCTGCACTAGAGAGGTTACTCTCTCCACAGGAGCCATGGAGAAGGTTTTGTGCGTGGACTGGAACCTGTGTTTCTTTGAGCAGAATAGAAATCCCCTGTTCTACAAAAGAAGTGGAAGCTCCACTCCTTGCAGGTGTTTCCTTTTGATCGCGTAGAAAAGAATCAGCTCTCTCTTGTAAAATCGGGTCTCAAATCGCAAGAGGTTGCCCCCTAAGATGTTTTCGGAGATTTATAAGATTCATGACCCCGAAAGTGCCCGTACATCGAGCGAGTTCGGTTTGTGATGAAGACACTACTTTTTTGGATCTGAGTTGCACTTCAATGCTGGAATTAATTAGACTGAAAGGCATCCTGTACCAGAAGGGCAGTTGGTGTAGTGGTATCACACCCGCTCAGCATGCGGGAGGCCCCGGGCTCAATCCCCGGACTGTCCATGTTTGATTTGATACGAACGGTTGTGCAAAATTCTACTAAGAGATTGCCTGAATATTGATCGAGGTCTCAATTGGGCGGAGGGTTGCTGCAATGGTAAGAAGGAGAAGGCTTCAGCAGTTTCACCCAGTGGGCATGACCTCTAGCCAGCAATCGAAAAAGTGTGCAGTGGAATGAAACTTTGCTGGCCAAGGGTATGAGGGCTTCAAAGATGATGTTCAAACACAAGCAGGTATCTGCACAGCAGACCAAGGGTAATATTCAAGCACAATCTTGATAGACTATCCGCACTTCAGAGATCTGAGGCACTCATGCAGAAGCATGTTTCAGCCACTCATCCTCAGTGCAACAGCTGTATATGCAATTGTTGCAGTCTTAGGTTTCACAAAGACAGTTGAGCATAGGAAAACAGTATGGTCAAGAAACGTTTCTTTGTAGGCATCCTGCCTGTGTGCCGTGACACATCGACTGCACTTGCACAGGATCACTTCTACAGTGATTCCTCTTGCACACGCAACAGTCTTCAGAACACTTTGCAACCACTGATGATGATGACACATCTCGTCACAGTGGAAATTGCTTCACTGCATGATGAAGGGAAGTGAGGAGATGTCTTCTGAAGTGATGCGTCGCTAAAGAATCATGCCTGACGGCTTTTGGGGGAGAAAGGGAGTCTCAACAATCAAGTACTTTTGGCAATTGATTGTTGTTTTGGGGATGGCCATGATAGCTTTGAGTTTGATAATTTCTATTGACTGGATAGGGTTCCCTGTCAGGCCCTGTAGCCAGGATGAGTCTAAGGTTCTCTTAGTTTTAGGGTCCACTTTTTCCAGTACATCGACAGTCAATCAAGGCCACGACACCTGCTTCTGGGCGAGCAAGGAATCATCTTCGTCGGCGAAGCATTAGCTGGACAAAGTCCTCAACTTTTTGCCTACACTCTGTAAAGGAAAAGGAAGGCAGGTGCGCACGAGTGCACGCAGGAAGCTGTACGGACAATGGCAGTGTACGCGCGCAACGGTGCGAGGGAATGTCTTCCAGAGAGTGATGAGGACGGGAACCAGAGCAGGCATCGATGGAGCGCCACCGAGCCTGTCTTCTAGCTTCTCAAGGTTTTTTCTGGACGCTTGACTGGCAGAGCTTGAGAATAACTGGGCATCGAACCATGTGCATTGAAGCCATGTCCAGGCACCAGCCTGCAGGGAACCTATCAACTGCTTGCAAGGCGGCCTCACGATCGTCACCATGATCATCACCTGAAAAAAGAAGTCAGGTGAGGGAGAGACCTGAACGCGGCGTAGCACCTGGAATACAAGATCGCGGCCAGAACCTCTCTCGTCTACATCAAGTTCTCTCCAATTTCTCTCGTTGCCAGGTTCGGAAGTTGCATGTCGCATGGCAAGTGAGCAGCTCGAGACTAGGAGTGCCTTGCAGGCCTTGCGTGACCAGTAATAGTGGGCCCCTGTGGCATTGGAGCACGGACCCAGTGGCCTAATGGATAAGGCGTTGCTGGTCTGGTGTCCACTCTGGGCGCAAGCACACAAGCAAAGCATGGTGGCTCGAGTCCACCCTGGGTCGTCTCTTGTGGTTGGTTTCTATGAGTTCATTGTACTGAATTTGACATTGTAGCAGAAGGTCAGGCCGCGGCCGCTATCCTATATCCGCAATGCAGTACCTGACGCACGGGGCCTCTCTCCTTTTGATTTTTAACCTGAGCCAAAGACCGAGCTGGGAGGGCCCAGAGAGCCGAGCTTAATTACGCA